TAGAAAGATCAAGAGGAAAAGGGTGTATATATCTCCATATAGAATTCAATGGGCCAATTCTATATTAAGTGGGGGTGAGAGTAGGGCCTCCATATGTGTGTAGTAAAAATAGGCCATCCCATTATGGGCCCATTCACCAAAATGTAAATGCTAGTCCATATATATAGAAATACAATACAACAATGACTTCCATCTGTAATCCCATTCAGCATATCTACAAACTGGAGTGCTACATCAAGGAAAACATAACATAAGTATTGAGATTGAGCAACTGAAACTAAAATTGATTTGACGCCTCCATCCCATCTCCAAAAATAACACAAATCTACCAGTGAGTCAGCTATCAGGAAAGGCCAGACATTAATTCTAGCTGAAAAATATAAGACAACATCATCCAACTGCAGAATCTATTGGGAAAATAATTTCAAGCTTTACGCATGCAGTAGCCTTTTCCCACTTCCCTTAAAGAAGAATCATTCAAAAGACGCTTACTATTCTACATTGGATGACATTTTCCTGATGTCCCAAAGTTTAATGGCCTGATCTTTTCCATTTGAGATAAAATAACGGCCATCTCCACGAGTGTCAATGAAAGTAATGCCTTCTAGATGTCCCATTAGGACTCCAGCAGGCTTCTCCCTTGTATCAAAACAGCGCCTATCCCATACCTGGAGGAACTAATACATCAGAATTATGATTGGCAACAATTTGTAATAGCAAGTCTACTGAAAAATAAAAGGATATATTCCAGATTTTATATTATATATTATTAATATTAAACCACTAATTGTTTAAAATTTAGACTAGCTTTGGGCTCAATTTAACCGATTAGTAATTATCAAGGAGTTCAACCCCATAATATAATTCATTGGAGCTATAGAAAATTTATGTCAAGTTCAGGTGTTCAATCTTCCAAATTTAGGCATGAATAGTTCCGGAAGGAAAAAAACATCATCATGGATTATACCCTTGGGAACCTGCTAATCAAACTGAAGTGTGCTTATATGCTAGAGTTGTCTAACTCAGAATTTCTACTTCAAGACAAAGGTCAGTGTGTAAAAGGACTTGCAAAGATGGGAATACGTAAATGGAAATTCATTGACTATAGAAGGGATATGATAAGTTTACCTTGCAAAGGTGGTCATCACTACCAGAATATATGATGTGGCCAGTTTCATCAGCAAAGCAGACGGCATTGACATCAGACTACAGATAACATGCAAGTCAAATTAAATATTAGAAATATGAAATCTACCCAATGAAGAACAGAAGAACATAGCAAATGCAGATGTAAAACATAGAAACCAATAGAGGAAAAAACTTATACCAATTTACAAAAAGAAAAAGAAAGAAAAAAGATTGAAGCGTGGCTGCAGCCATATATGGCAAAAAAAATCTTTATAAACCTAGAACATGAATTATAAAGTCACTTTCCAGCAACATTCTATAAGAATGAATGATGAGAACGACAAGAAATCAGCTTCTATTCCAAGGATAATAGCACTATTTGTCCCAGCACCTATTTTTCTATGCTGCTTAGTACACTAAGTAGTAAGTACCACAAACTTATACAGAAACCAATTGATGAGTAAGTTTCACTCATTGTTTAATGCCACTTAAACTTGATATTTTTGTTGTCTTTCAGCAATTTAGAACGTCTTGATTTGTGTGTTCATATTGCTTCTTTTAGTTTTTCCATGAGTTTATTTGTGTTGATTCTTGCTTAATGCTTTCAATTACCTGATCAATAATTAAATGATTTGATGCTTTAAATTTCGGCAATCGAGAGAGGGAATTTTAGGCTCGATCTAAGAACAACACAACCTAGATTTATAGGTTCCGAAAGAATTATAAAATCTTTGAAGGATATTCCGCTTAAGAACCACAAACTTGATAATTTTTAGATTTTAATTCGGAATAAAGAAATTGGAATTGAAGTATAAAGGTAGATTTTATTCGGCACTCGAGAGAGGAAATAGAATTAATTTAGGGTTCTTGCTTATAAGCTTAGGAAAAATTGATAGAAGTATTTATACAATTTGAGAAACATTGTTGATAGTGCGGTGAAATCATTCCCAGCCCAGCTCAGAGACATCAGTGGAGTGCAACAGAATTGGATTAGAAAATATGAATTCAAATATAGGTTCATAATGAATTTTGTGTACTAGTTTAATATATTTAAAAATGTCATTCTATGAGGTCAAATTGAAGAACCAGACAAAATAACTCCTAGATGCACCATAATTGTAAAATAGAGTAAAGTACCTTATGA